TGTATTATATAAATAATAGTATCAATATTTTCAAATATACTTGGATTACTTTACTTGTACCGGAACCAATAAGACTGTTAGAGTCTATTGGTGGCGCCCTTATCGAAAGTAGCAGGCGAAGAAAAGGCTGTAATGATAACGACGATCAGGCGATGGTAGGATCTCATTTGGGGGCTCAGACAAGCCCATGATGTGGCAAATTCGATTCGATCGAATTGAATAGCCTCACCGGGATAGAAAAGAAAGATTTGCCTCGCGTCATCGACCGTGTAAAGTACAACTACAAACTATGCCCATCCATCCATCCATCCATCATCTTGAATTCAACTTTCTTGCCGGGCATGCCCATGAGCTTTTGCGTTGTCATCAGGTGAGTTCAGTTCAAGCGACGGAGACGATGCGCTCGTCCGATTTTACAGGAATTTTGAGAAGAAAGAAACCATTCGATTTCCTTGTGGGTTTGGATGGAGTGAGTCCCCGTTCCAACATAGCTGCTGAAAGTTACACGAATTTGCGCATAAATAACACAGTAGGATAAGATTTTGCAAAATGTCAATGTTCTAGATGATGGGCTGTTTGGGTTGGAGCAAGAACCCCTCGATCGATCCATTGACCATCTGGGGTGGCCATCTCCCATCTCCCATCGAATAAACAGCAGCAGGCCAGCCGGCAACACAGCTCGCTCCATTTGTTGGCGACTGCCGTCGTCTGCTTCCAACAATCTCTTCTCCTCAGCCTCAAGCCGCCCGCCCCGCTCCGCTACTCCTTCATTTACTCCACCACCACCACCAGCAATCCGTTTTCACCGTGCCCTTCCACTCATCACCAGCCGCCCTACCCGGCCGCCGGCACCAGGCCCAAGCCGCGGCGGCTCTCCCAAACCCAAACCCTAGCTCGCCTGCCGCCGCCGCCGCCGCCGGCGATGTCGTCGTCCCCTTCGTCTCCCCCGCCGCAGAGGCGGGAGGCGGGGGAGGGCGGCGGGCTCCCCATCCCCGTGTCCGCCGCCGTCGTCGGCGACGACAAGGTCCTGGCGGCGGCGCAGCACATCGTCAAGTCGCTCGCCACGTCCAAGAACGCCGCCGACGACATGATCCGCATCCTCTCCGGCTTCGACCACCGCCTCTCCTCCATCACCTCCGATCTCTTCCCGTCCCCGTCCCCCGCCGGCACCTCCGACCCAGACCCAGAGGCCCCCGGTGAGCAGGAACCCTCCTCGTCGTCCTCCTCCTCCTCGCTCGCGGATTTCGACGCCGCCGAGCAGCTCATCCACCTCTGGGACACCACTCCGGAGGCGCTCGTCTTCGAGGCCCCCGAGGACGACGCCGCGCACTACCTCGCCGCCGTCGACGTCGCCGTCGACCACCTCTCCACCCCCGCCGTCTCCGGCCGCGCCGGGGTCGCCGTGCAGCTCGCCATGTCGCGCCTCGAGGACGAGCTCCGCCACCTCATGCTCCGCCACTCCGTGCCGCTCGACGCCAGCGGCCTCTACTGCTCGCTCCGCCGCCTCTCCCTCGGCTCCATGGACGACCTCGACACCTCCTCCGAGTTCGATCCCGCCACCCCTCACAGCCAGGACGGCGGCGGCGGGCCGGACACCGCCCGCAGCGCCAGCATCGCGGGGAACAACCCCTTCGAAGACCAGGTGTTCGACCTCGTGCGCCCGGAGGCCGTCGATGAGATACGCGCCATTGCTGACCGGATGGTGCACGCAGGGTATGGCAGCGAGCTCGCCCAGGTGTACTGCGCCATCCGGCGTGACCTGCTTGATGACTGTCTCACCGTGCTCGGTGTGGAACGCCTCAGTATCGATGAGGTGCAGCGCATCGAGTGGAAGCAGCTGAATGACAAGATGAAGAAGTGGGTGCATGGGGTCAAGACAGTCGTTCGCTCCCTGCTGACTGGTGAGCGGCGGCTCTGTGACCTGGTGCTTGCTGCGTCCGATGAGCTCCGGGATGAGTGCTTTGTGGAGTCCACCAAGGGTTGCATCATGCAGATCCGTAACTTTGGGGATGCTGTCTCCGTGTGCACTCGCTCGCCGGAGAAGCTTTCCCGAATTCTTGACATGTATGAGGCGCTTGCTGAGGTGATCCCTGAATTGAAGGAGCTGTTCTTTGGGAGTTATGGGGATGATGTCATCCATGATTTGGAGGGGGTTCTTGAAAGGCTTGGTGATGCAGTCAAGGGTACCCTTCTTGAGTTTGGGAAGGTCCTACAGCAGGAGTCATCGCGGCGGCCGATGATGGCTGGTGAGATCCACCCAATGACGCGTTATGTGATGAACTATCTTAGGTTGTTGGTCGTTTACAGTGACACACTTGACACACTTTTGGATGACAGTGGTGCTGGAGATGTAGATCATAACATTTTACATAATGGCACTGATGAGGATCAGGAGTATCTGAAGAGTTTGACCCCACTTGGACGCCGTTTAGTCAAACTGATATCTTACTTGGAGGCTAATCTTGAGGAAAAATCTAAACTTTATGAGGATGGAGCGCTGCAGTGCATATTTTCCATGAATAACACACTCTACATTGTACAAAAGGTTAAGGATTCTGAGCTCGGGAGGATTTTAGGTGATCACTGGATACGGAGGCGCCGTGGCAAGATTCGGCAAAACTCAAAGAGCTACCTTAGGGTTTCATGGACCAAAGTTTTGTCTTACTTGAAGGATGATGGACATGGCAGCAGTGGGAGTGGAAGTTTTGGCAGCAGTGGGAATTCAAGCTCTAGGATCAAAGAAAAATTTAAGAATTTCAACTTGGCCTTTGAGGAGATATACAGGAGCCAAACACTTTGGAAGGTGCCAGATCCTCAACTCCGAGAAGAACTCAAGATTTCTATATCTGAAAATGTGATCCCAGCTTATCGTGCTTTTACTGGAAGATATGGCAGTCTAGTTGATAGTGGAAGGAATTCTGGAAAATACATAAAGTACACTCAAGAGGATTTGGAGAATCACCTGTCTGATCTATTTGAAGGGTCACTAGGGTCTGCCAACCATTCCAGGAGAAGATGATAATTTCTTATGATGGGATTTGGCTACAGGTATGCTTTTGGTACAAGGGACACCATATCGCCAAACTGCTGTAGTGAATATATTGAATTGGTGCTGGTACCGTATCACAATGTAATTCAAAATAGGACCCCTTTGTTTTGCAATCAATATATGTGTAATACTAAATGATGTACTTGGTCTTTTTTCTCAGTATATTCTTATATTTGCTTGTTTGATTGTCTGAGGCTCCAAGTCCAAGATATATTGATTTTACATTGCATGTTATAAGTGTTCAGTTTTGGACTCACATATTGCAAAAGACTCGGAATGTTTAGTCCTGAAATAGGTAGGGGTTTTTGAGATTGCAAGCTTCCTTTGGAATAATGATGAAGTAAACCAGCCTCTTTATGGAATCCTTGAAATATGGACTGCAGAATTGGACCAAATTGTTTGATGAGTAATGTTTAAATAAGAAAAACTTCATCAGTTTGCTAGATGCCTGGCAACAATCGTTTTATGCTTGAACCTAAGTTCCGCTCCCTCTTCTTTGCATTCTTTCCATACATGTTGGTCACATTGTTCTGTCAGTTGTTGTATTTTCTTTTTATACAGTATTTTCTAGGAGTATTGAAATGCCAAGTCTTGAGGTACTGGGAATGCTAATGCCGTTAAGGAATCATGCCTGTTTCAGTGTTTCAAGAAAGAAGAAAGAAAAGATGGATAGCCCAAACGTTCCTTATGAATATAGTGCAAGATGAAGTGAATGTAAATCAGCAGGTTACTGCCCATCAGAAATGTAACATGCCTTTTTGTTCAGCAGTTTGCTTTAGCGGTTCTCTTCCACATAATGATGATCATCAGCATGTACCAACTCAAATAAGGACATCCATGTTTTGATCGTTAGCATCTTCTAAGTTTCTGGCTTGGTTTCTCTATGTAAATACACATCAACAATGAATTTATCTTCTGGTCATACCTATCAAGTACGATGTGCCTGATTGGAGCCAAAATTTAGTTGCCAAAATCAAGGCAAGCTAAGTTTGGCAAAAAAATTTGATTTGCTTCCAAAACTTGCCAACATCACACATTTGGCTAACCAAATGTTTGGCAAAAAAATTTTGTCCTACTTGCTAAATCTTTAGTGAGGTAAATTTTGGTAGCAAACCAAGCAGGCCAATCATGCTTCCATGAGAACAAATGGAGACCGAGTTCTCTTGCATTCCACATCTTGTTTGAAGCAGGTAGTTTGAGCACCAACAGCAAATTTGATCTTCTCTATTTGGCTATGAGTTGAATGTGTACGGTTTGTGACCTGATTACACAAGTTCGTAAGTTCACTAAACCAAGGACACTTGGTCAGCTTATTGATTCTCATTTCTATTAAGGATTCGGATATTTCTAGGGTAGAGTTGTTTGACAACTGAGATGATAAACTGACTGCAACCGTATGCTGTTGCTGTACAGTGTACACTGATACCGAACTGGAATTTTTCAGAAGCTACATCTGTACCTCGTTATGCTGTAAAGGTGACAAAAATATATGGATGTACTCTTCTGCAGGACGAGGATATTTTGGCTGACCCTACGAGATGTTGTAGACTCTACCAGCTGAATGATGGAAGTTACCCAGGTACGTATATGACAACGAAAGAGTCCGACTCAAGTTAAAAACAAGATAAAATATCTTCTCCCTCAGAATTTTGCTTGCAGTATGACAAAGCAAAATCTATTGAACCACACATCTTTAGCAAGAAGGAAGACAGGCAACAATTGTCATCATGAGAACATGAAAAGAAACTCAGGTAAGTTCCCAAATTATTCAATGTACAACATTGCCATGCATCCATTAGAGCATTAGTTCTTTTCTCCATGTAGGCAATGGTCTGTTTACCTGAGAACTAAGGCTGTGAAAAGGAATATACTAGAAGCAACCTTCAGAAGAGAATAGCTCAAAATGTACATTTGCACAGATACATCAGTGTGATTGGACCGTGACGTTGTGTCATACAGTGCTGTTTGCAGGCAGGGGAACAACACCATCAAAGAAATCCCCAAAGTAATGGCGCGGCTCATGCACCAGCTTGGAGATTATGTCCCTCAAGGTGATGACTCCCTCGGTGTTCCCTTTGTCATCTACAACGTAGATCCTGTGGATCTTCTCAGAGTCCAGCTTCAGTATGATGTCCTTAATTGTATCATCCTTTTTGCAAGTGATTACATCATGCAGCAATGGTGAGGCCTCACACTGTTCCTGGAGATGGTGTCGAACAGCACTAAGGAAATCTTTTGTCGTGATTGACCTGTGTTACATTCAACAGCTCACAGAGGTTCATATATAGCAATAATAGTTGCAGTGGTCATCCTAGTTCCTACAATGCAGTTTAAAAGTGCATTTGGCATGATGTGCAATAACAGCAGCAGAAATCTTTTTGTATTGTTTGCCAATCACAAGAAAGCCTATCGACGAGGATGTACTAGGATTACAAACCTGTGCTCTTTGTATATCTTGGGGGCAGTTAAAAGATACTGGACATCTCTGATGCTAATATTGCCAATTGCTTTTGCTCCACTTGTGTCCATGACTGGCAGGCCACCAACTCCCTTTTCCCTCATCAGTTGGAAAGCTTTCAGAACTGGCTGATCTTCGTTTACCTGGAAAAGAGTAGGCCACAGTGACGTGTTTGTTTACATGAAGGTTTTGTCAATCAGCATGGCTTTGATGAAATTGATCTTTCTTAGCTATTGATAATTTGACCTTGAGAATTTTATGAATTTATTAGAAAGGAAAAACTGAAAGTGAAAATTTCTAACTAGATTTCCAATGCGGACAAGCAGAAGTCATTCAGAGGTACCTTGACAAGTTTAGATGGTTTCATGATAGGAAGCCCCAGTTCAGAGAGTTTCTTAGTTCCCCAGCTCTCAAACCAGGAGAGCCCAACACACTCTGCAAGCATGTGTACGACAGAGGATTGTGTGATAATATTCTCAATCTTATCTCCTCCCACTTCTACAACTGGCAGGCTCTTCATTCTGTACTTGGATAGAAGCAGCAACATGGTAAGGAATGTGTCAGATGTCTGCAGTGCAAGAAATGGTGCCCAGCGGAAGCTCCCTGAGATATCGCCAACCTACACAGGCACAACTTATGTCAAGGATTGGTCCTCACTACAAGTCAATATAACTGTTTAAATATGGAGCAAAAGAAGTTCACCTTTGTATTCTTGTAGAATTCAGAGGAAGTTAGGGTTTCAAAAAAGCTCCCACCAACCGACGCTGCTTCATCTGATTCAAAATCAGTAGCAGTTTCTACCCTGCCAGATGATGTCCTTCTGAATGTGAAAGAACCCAGCCTAGAAACTAGATTGGAGACAGGTGATCCTGCTCCCGAACCAACTGTCCCATTAACTGCAGCATCAGACTGTTCCATGGCAGAAGAAGCAATCCATTTCAGAAGGATGAGTGGGGCGAAAAATATCAAATGTATAGTCGATAGTATAAAAAGGGAAGTTTGTGTCATATTATAGGTCAATTCCTTTATACTACAGAGCTTTGTAAATATTCGGTATTTATTTGTTGTTTCTTAATGGTCTGAATCATACATAGTAGGGGCATCCCTTACTATTATCCCACAAGAAAGGAGAAAACGGGGGCTAGATTTACAACAGACATGAAAATTTACTCTGGTCATAAAATCATGTTGTTTAGGACAAGTTTATTCCAACCTTAATAACTACAAACATCAAAAAACTTTTAAATTATTTAAATTTGAAAACATGAAAGTTACATGTGGGTTGGATTGAAAAATACTTGCAAAAATCTTATAAATTTGAAGGATGTTTATTAATATATTATAGAATAAATTAGTGGTGAAATATATGCATCAAAGACCTTTCATAGTCCTAACACGTTTTGACTGGAGGGAGTATTTTAACAGACTATAGAAGGTTAAGCTGCATCAAATGACTTGATGGAAGTTCAATGTGCTTATAATCAGGAGCTTGCATGCAGTATAGCATTGAATTCAGTTTGTTGAAGTTTAGTGCACGTATCATTTATTTTAAAAATGATGGTATCAAACTGAACAGAAATATATCAAATCATAACAATCCTGATTAGGAAAACCTGCAGTTGAACAACATATTCTGACTATCATGTTAATCATTTATATCTTCCCCCTACAAAATGAGAGGGAGGGAGGGAGCACTTCAATGCAATCAAGGTTACGAACCTGACTGAGCAACCACATGGCAATACCAGCAAATTCCACAATGCCGATGTATTTGTCCATCCAACTAGCATCTTCTGGAGCCTCAACATTTCTTATGGGTGCACTCAAGATTTTGTTTTTGGATAATATTTCTACAGTTTCAGCAAGACTTGCATCTGAAGGAATCTCAATGACTGCATGGCAATAATCATATTTTACTTTTAGAACTGGAAATTATCGTGTGCATCATTTAAATCATTGATGTTAAGCAAATAACACAGGTTATGAGGAACTTCTGGGAAAGATACTTAGGTATTCCAGTATCCTACTTAGATATCCACTTGTAGCACAACAACAACAACAAAGTCTTTAAGTCCCAAACAAGTTGGTGTAAGCTAGAGTTGAAACCCAGCAGAAGCAATCAAGGTTCAGGCACGTGAATAGCTTTTCCAAGCATTCCTATCTAAGGCTAAGTCTTTGGGTATATTTCATCATTTCAAGTCTCTTTTTATTGCCTCTACCCAAGTCAACTTTGGTCTTCCTCTGCCTCTCTTCACGTTACTATCCTGGCTTAGGATTCCACTTCTAGCACAAGCCGGAAATTTAAATCCAATAGTTCTAATCTTTTAGATTTGACGGTTTTGACTCGAGAATCGAAAACTGTCTCAAAATATACAGAAGAAGATGAAAGTTATAACAACAGGCTCAAGGAAGAATGCATTTTCTAAATGAAAGACAAAAGATTTTTGCTCTGTGGCAACCAATCACACAATTTTGGAAGTAACATAGATTGCATATGTACTGGCCGTTCAATTTTGCAGACTTAGACTTCTGTTTGGACCCAGCGATAGATTACGATGAATTATCTTCTATGTTTAGCCAATTCACCGTACTATTCCCCAGATAAAGATAGCAAGTTCACAACTAAGACAATATATGGTAATCTGGGAACCTCACTGTTCGAGAAGATGGCTCTTGCAATCATGGCAGTTGGATAATTTCTGAGCAGGCTGATAGTTATCCACATCAACCCGCACAGTGACACACATCATGGTGACAAAGAAAGTGCTCCACGGCTCTTGCTTAGTTGGTCAAGAGATGAAAACGACCCCTCAACCAACATAATACGTATACTTGTCTGAAGTGTTAGAACTCTACAGCATCACTGGACCTAGGAAGGAAAAGAACAAGATAGATGTGTAATCTGATCTCAGAGAAATCGTGTGACACTATCACTATATTAAGAACAGTTCAACAAGGTCCATGCATTTGGTCCAGAGAAGACATGCCACTGAGCTGATCATAGGAGGCAAGGGCCAGAGAGAAGATCTCCACTGGATCGCCCTTTGAAAAAGAACAAAGAACAGAAGATGAGAGGACTGAAAAAAAAACATGTCCGCTCCCTGAAATGACAAGAACGGCAACATGGCACGGACTGGCTCTGTTGGAGCGGATCAGCCCCACAGCGACAGATGAGCACGGGGCTCCTGCCAACACCGACAGAGCTACAATACAGACACAAATGCAATTGACACCGGAAGAAGAGAGCTGTTCGACTGAATCCAATAGCACACGAACTCTGATCTGACGCTGAATACAGAGGTTTACGTTTCGCTTCATCAAGACGACTTTTTTTAAAAAAAAATTATTTCGGTTCAACACGCATGACGGCATCAAGACCGAACACAAATTAGCGACCGGTACAGTACGCAAGGGAGCAGGCGAGGCAAAAGTGATTGATTGAGAAACAAGATAGTACCTTGCGACGGGTGTGTTCGCGGGAAGGAGGCGACGGGGATGTCCTCGAAGCAGGAGTTGAGCTTCTCCGACGGCGAGAGCTGCGGCTCCGCCACCTCCCAGAGGTCCTCCACGCGGTGGCCGATCTCCGCCTCGGGGCTCCGCGGGCTCTCCATCTCCTCCGACTCTGAACCCGTGTCCTCTCCTCTTCTTCTCCCTTGAGCCCTCTCTTGCTAGGTCTTGCAAGTTGCAGTGCCGCTCTGCTCCCACCTAGTAGGCTGTTGTAGATAGCTACGAGAGGCCAATCGCGAGCGCACGCGGCCGATGACGACGCGGAGCAAGCCGCTGGTGCTACTAATACCGCCCGCCGCCTTGCTTTGCTTGGGCCGCAGTGGGTGTCTGCTCTGCCTCTGCGCTTGTCCGCGTCAACGGAAGGGGGGACGAACTCAACAAGGCCCGCCTCGGAAGGTGTGGTCCACATGTCAATGAAAGGATGGACCACGACGGGGAGAGTGTACAGCTGCTGGTTTTTCTGCCTACTACTACTGTACTGCTGAAGAAAACCGCTGCGGCACCATGCATGTTTGATAAAGACCTGGACTGAAATGTCTGGACTGGACAACTGCCTGTAATCTTCTTGTGATTTAAGGCCTGTTTAGATCCTGAAAAATCTGCCTTTACGAGTTTGTCTGTTTCGTTTGCCTGTGAGTAAAATTATCTAAAAATCGACTGTTTGGGCTCCAAAAGAACCTGCCTGGACCTAATCACCCTATAGTAACGCTTAGTTATTCGTCCCTCCATCGACTTCCAGGACATCAAGGGCTCGTTTAGTTCCGTAGATTTTATGTGACTTTAGAATCTTTATTTTTATTTTTAATAATTATCTAAACATGGCCTTATTTAGTTGGCATCCTGAGAAATCTGCCTGCTACGAGTTGTCTGTGACAGTTGCCTGTGAGTAGGCATAGAAAATCGACTGTCTGGGCTCCAATCCAACTTGCCTGGACCTAATCACCCTATAGTAACGCTGTCCCGTCCCTCCATCGACTTCCAGAACATCAACTAAACAAAATATAAAAAATAGACTTGTCTGACCACAGTATTGGGGGTCACGGGCAAGTCACAGGCAGCTCAAAAGCCCACGCAACACGTCGAGGGTCCTATCCAACACGACCCCGGGGGGACGACGTGGCATCTACTACAACGTTCCAAGCGTTAAAAAAAATGCACCGATGCACGCCATTACAAAAAGGCAGTTTTAACGTAACCCACTGCAAATGTTTAGACTCAAATTAACTCAATTATTTTATTAAAAAATAAATGAACTCTACACACCTGTCAGTCAGTCTGTGAGAGACACATCTAGCAATGCTCCTCCCTTCGACTTGGAGTTCGAGTAACCCGGTGTACGGTATGGTGTGCACCAAGAAGAATCTGGGACTGGTTCTCAAAAAAACAAAAAAACAAAAAAAATCTGGGACTGAGGTAAGATGGGCCAGGCTGGGAGCATGTGGGCCATCTGCAGCGTCATCGCGGCTGCTTAATGCTTATCCCCTTTCTCTTGTCTGATTAAAATATCTCTCGTCCCTGCTGCATCCGTGTTCCCATCAAGATATCGTTGATGGACTAATGGATGGGCCCCTAGAAGACCGGCAGGTCGGCAGCCTCGTTTGAGTTGGCGAGTGCACATAATGAGATGAGATGATCGATCCAGCACATCCACTCAGCTCATTTCCTTCTTTTCTTTGTATCAGACGTCCACCTCGTTCTTTTTAAATTTTTTCCAAGGGAAGGTGATCAGGCACTTTGGTAATGTCTTTTTCTTTTATATTTTATTTTAGTAAATTTAGGCAATCTAGCCTCAAAATCTATACCTTTATACCAATGCAAATTCAGCATTAATTAATATTTAATCATATGTTGTTTTAGTAATCTAGTAAGTTGAGCCCTAGGACTAAGGATGCAAGTGGGTAATTACGATTAAATACAATTTTAGTTCATTCCTCCCCTCACTCAAATTACATGAAATGTTATTATAGTTTATTTGAGCAAGCTTCTGGGTCGGTCCAATATCCAAAATTATTAGAACTTGCATCCCTGCACAGGGCTAGAAGAGCATTGTTACTCTTAGGGCTCGTAGTTGCCACTGTCTAGGGACATCTCCTTTCTCTCCAGTGAGGTTGGCGGCGGCAAGAAGAAGACTCCATCCCTTTTCAAAGTTTAAGCAGATCTTTAGGTGTAGTTTGTTTAGGTTCGGTTTAAATATATTTGCCAGAGAAATACTACCGATGTTTGGCCTGGAGCTTATTATCTACGATGGCTTCGATGATAATCACAATGAGGTCACTGTTGTGGTAGCCAATTTTAAGTTTGTGGTTACTATGTATACTCCCTTGTGGGGATATTAATTCCGGATCGACGACCTTGTCCTTGATGGTGATAGAGAGGAAATCAAGTGTCCAACTTGGATCAAGGATTGGAGGTGCTGAATTTGCATCTTGTGCCCTACCCAACGATTCAACTGTCAATGTTCATTCATTGATTCAGATGTGTTTCGATCTGGTTGCAGAATGTTGGATCATGTGGCATATCCAAGGTTTGGAGGTTGGTTAGCAAATTTGGCATAAGGATTGTACTCACTGCTACAAAAATAGTTTTTAGGGGAGCCAATGTTTGCTTTTAGAGACGGGCTCTACGAACAACCCCTTTTACAAAGGCTTTCAGAGATAGCATGGGTCTAGAGTTCGATTTCTAGAGACAATTGGTGTTTTCAATGCAAAATACTGGACGCTGGTTCTTTGAATCAATATAGATCATTAGTTGTTGCTAAAATCTAAATTTGTTGTCATAGTATTGGCCGGTAGCATGGGAGAGCCGCTGGAGCAACTATGGTCCACTTTGGGTATGATTAGTTCAGATGCAGCTCTTTCGTTTTTTTTTTTGAGCTTCAGAATTGCTTACAAAGCAATTGTTTCTGCAATACAAACGCCAATCGTTTTTTTTTTAAAAAAAATGGTTCCCTACACACATATTAAGGCCCGGCCGGCGACTTGCAGCGAGCTCCGCTGCGTCTGGCTCTGGGCCTTTGGGGGAAATGAGAATCGATTATATTTCCTCTGGGCCGCTGTGGCCCGTGCAAGAAAGAGCAAGTGCAACTACAAGCTAGAAAACAAATGATTCGTTCATTGTAGTATATATTTATAGAATTATTAAACATAAGGTGATAAGGATGAAGTTAGATGAACCCCTTGCATCCACAGTTGTTTGGTCTTTTTTTCTATACAAATAGCGGGATGATCTGAATAAAGTGCAACGTTTGTCGTGAAGCGCTTCTTTTGTTAGAAAAGGGAAAATAGTTTGGGCTTTAGCCTTCTTCGAAAAGAAACATCAGAACAAGAAAACACACCCAAAAAATAAACTTATTACGAGGTTTTGAACTAGGATTGAAACGGTACACAAAAGACCATTCATTAGATGGAAAAAAAACTGTGTGACACTTATTTCAAGTAATTTGCATGCCTCATGAATCTAATCTTTGCAATCATCTGAGCGTTGTAATTGAGGCTAGAACCGAAGCCAGTGCATCCTGTAAATAGAACCTACAAAATATTTTTAAATGACCATTGATAAAAGAAAGAGGGTTTTATCTGTGTGCCATTATAAAAGTTGGTAATTACCACAAGCCATTAAAAAGTTAAGTTCTCACAGGTGCCACTACTCTGAACTATTTTGCCCTCCACGTCACTTCCGTCAGATTTGGCTCTAACGGTGTCAAACTGTGGACATAAAAAGTCAAAAATACCCTCGTGTCTAAATATGCAATTAATTTTTTTAGCATCTTAAGGATCTCAAATGAAAAAACTCAAACTAAAAAAGTTATAGATCTGGTCGAGATCTACAATATCTATATAAAAATTATCTTCATTTGATTTAAGCGGGTCGGTAGGTGCTCCTTGGTCTCTGTGGCTTCCCTACGCTGATCAAGAACGAACAGAGGGATTGGAGTACTTATATAGCTTGGGGAATTGGAAGAAAGCCAAGACACGAATGGAAGGGAAGCCAAAGCGTCTTTTGATATCCAGCAGTGCTCGCCTGCCAAACGAGTAGTCACCCACTCGTCCTGCATACGTCGAATGCTTGATTGGTGGAAGATGAATTCAGATGTGAAACAGATTTCAATGACGTGGTAGCATGAGAAGCTAGAGAAATACTCCAGTGGAGATCTTCTATTTAGGTATAAGGGATTACAAGGTTTTAAACTAGAACTGAGACGATACACAAAAGACCATCCATTAGACACACAAAAAAAACTATATGGCACTTATTTCAAGTAATTTGCATGTCTCAGGAATCTGATCTTTGCAATCATTTGAGCATTGTAGTTAAGCCCAGCGAAGCTACTCCATCCCCTGGATAGAACCTACAAAAATCTTTTTGGGTGACCATTGTTAAAAACAAAATCGTTCCTTGTGAGCCAACCACGGAAGAGAAGCAGCACCAGTTACGAATAGGTAATTATGTTTCTTGCCTTCCGATTTAGACCAACTATTTTATGAAACAAATGTACGCTGCTTATTGGTGGTTTGAAGCCAAACACCAAATAAACCGCTTGCCATAGAAAACAGGGGACTTATTAGTGGGCCTGTGATTTTTTAGCCCAGAAGAAACAATGTACCTGTGGCCCGCGGCCGAAATAAACCTGACAGAAAAGCCCGGACCGCGTGTGTGTCTCCGACCGGGACTCGTTGGTGTTGGTGAGCCCTACGGAAATACAGTCGGACACTGCTTGTACGGCCGTACGGGAGCAGCTTCTTTTGTTTGGACACAACAGCTTCTTTTGTTTCCTTCCAAAAAAAAAAAGTCGTGACACCTGCTTTGATCGATCGCGCCATCACCATGCCACCGGAGGAAACACTCGACCTGCTGGGCGTTGTCATCCCGAGCGACGAAGCCGTCCATGTCCACCCCTCGTCACGGTCGTCGTCGCCGGTGATAGGCCACAGCGACCACAAGCCGAAGAAGAGGAAGCACAACGTGAACGATGCTCTTCCTCCACAATCTACCGCGGCGCGGTCGACGATCGACGCCGAGGGCGGCGTCACAGAGACAGGGCCCGCCGCGCGCGCGGGTGGAGCGCACTGCGGTCGGAGGCGGCGAAGAGCACGGAAGCTGGTGG